ATATATATATATATATATATATATATATATATATATATATATAATTTTTTTCTTTTTTCTTTCTTTTCTTTCTTTTTTTTTTTTTTTTTTTTTGACCGTTTTGTGTTGTTTGCAGTTTTCACGGCAACGACGGCTGCCATGAAGATTGCTGTGCTTAAAAATAAATTAACCAAACAGAATTGAGTGTTCTTGGATCGCAGAGTCTGCTTATATATATATATATATATATATATATATATATATATATATATATATATATATATATATATATATATATATATATATATATATGCATATCTATATACATGTATATATACGTATGTTTGTCATGAAAGCGTCCTCTCCCTCCCCCGTTTATTCGACCACAAAACATCCCTCCAACGTTGTCTTTGCATTCCTTCCTTCCGACTGCTTTAAGTGATTGCTTCTATATGCTTTTTCCACGCCATTCGAATTTTCTTGATTATCTGTTTTCGTATTATCGTTTTTCCGATTTTTTGTTATTATTATCTGTTATTTTTTTGTTAGTATTATCATAATTACCATTGCTATTGTTGTTATTGTTATTGTTATTGTTATTATTATTATTATTATTATCATTATTATCATTGTTATTACTATTGTTATTATCACAACTATTACTAATATCATTATCATTATTATTATCATTACAATTAATATGTTATAGTATTATTACATGTATTATCATTATATTTATTAAGAATGTCTTTAGCATCATTATCATTATCATAATCATCAACAGCATCATTATTTGTAGGCCTATCTTCACCGTCACCAAACAATAACAACACCTATATGAAGAATAACGAAAGAAAAAGAAATGATAAATTTGATTTTTAACTAATCCTCTTGATTGGAAAAAAGAGAAAAATTAAATTACGATTTCCTGCAATTTCGAGATCTCCATGAAACAGCTGTTGCAGTTGCGAAGGAGTGAAGTGGAGAGAATCTTACCCATTTTGCCTCTTCCTCTATCTTCTTCCTCTCCATTTTCCTCTCTCCTCTTCCTCTCTACTTTTCCGCTCTCTTCTTCCTCTCTACTTTTCCGCTCTCTTCTTCCTCTCTCCTCTTCCTGTTTACTTTTCCTCTCTCCACTTCCTCTCCTTCTTCCTCTCTCCTTTTCCTCTCTCCTCTTCCTCTATCCTCTTCTCTCCTTCTTATGCCCTCTTCGTTTATTTTCTTTCTTTCTCTATTCTTTTACTCTTTCTTTCTCTATTCTTTTACTCTTTCTCTCTCTCTTCTTCCCCTACTTAGGTTTTCTTCTCATTTTTTCCTTCTTTCTCCACTCTTTTTTTCTGTTTTTCTTCCTCTTCTTCTTTCTTTTCCCCTTTCTCTCCTCTCTCCTTCTTAGGCCCCCACATTTCTTCTCTTTCTTTATCTGCTCTATTTCTCTCTTTCCCTTTCTCTTCTTTATTTTCTCTTTTCCCTCCTCTTTCTCTTCTTACTCTTTCTATTTCCTTTTTCTCCCCTTCTTAGGTTCACTCCTCTTCTCCTCTCCTTCCTCTTCTCCCTTTCCATTTTTCTCTTTCACTTCTTCTTCCTCTCTTTTTCCCTCTCGCTCTTTCTTTTTTTCTTTTCTCATTGTGCTTTTCCCTTCCTTCTTCTCCCCTCTCTCTATTCTTTTTCCTTCCTTCTCTCTTTCTCATTCTCTTCTTCCTTTTCCCCTTTTCCTTTTTCCCCTCCCATCTTCTCCGCTTCTTAGGCCCCTTCCTTTTCTTCTCTCTTTCCTCTTCTCATTTCTATCTTTCTCTTCCAGTTCTTCCTCTTCTCCTGTTTCACTTTCTCTCTCTCTGTCTTTTTATCTGCTCCTTTCTCTCTTTTTCTTTCTCTTCTTCCTCCCTTTTTAAATCCTCTCCTTTTCTTCTCTCTTTCCTCCACTCTTTTTCCCTCTTTCTCTTTCTCTCCCTCCTTTTCTCCTTTCCTTATTCTCCTCCCTTCTTCTTTCTCAGGCCTCTTCCCTTTCTTCTCTTACTTTAATCTTTTTCCACCTTTCCCTTTCTCTTCTTCCTCTCCCCATTTCCATTTGTATCTTTCTTTTCTTCCCTTATTCTTTACCCCTTCCTTCGGTCTCTTCCTTCCCCCCTTTATCTCTTAACTCTTCCCCTCCTACCCCTAACCCTTCCCCCCCCTCCTACCCCTAACCCTTTCTCCCCCCCCTTCTACCCCTAACCATCCCCCCCTACCCCTAACCCTTTCTCCCCCCCTACCCCTAACCCTTTCTCCCCCCCCTTCTACCCCTAACCCTTCCCCCCCCTCCTACCCCTAACCCTTTCTCCCCCCCCCCTACCCCTAACCCTTTCTCCCCCCCCTCCTACCCCTACCCCTAACCCTTTCTCCCCCCCTCCTACCCCTACCCCTTCCCCCCCTCCTACCCCTAACCCTTTCTCTCCCCCCCTTACCCCTAACCCTTCCCCCCCCCTCCTACCCCTACCCCTTCCCCCCCTCCTACCCCTAACCCTTTCTCTCCCCCCCCTCCTACCCCTAACCCTTCCCCCCCCTCCTACCCCTAACCCTTCCCCCCCTCCTACCCCTAACCCTTTCTCTCCCCCCCCTCCTACCCCTAACCCTTCCCCCCCCTCCTACCCCTAACCCTTTCTCCCCCCCCCTTACCCCTAACCCTTCCCCCCCCCTCCTACCCCTAGCCCTTTCTCCCCCCCTCCCCCCCTACCCCTAACCCTTCCCCCCCCTCCTACCCCTAACCCTTTCTCCCCCCCCTCCCCCCCTACCCCTAACCCTTTCCCCCCCTCCTACCCCTAGCCCTTTCTCCCCCCCTCCCCCCCTACCCCTAACCCTTTCCCCCCCTCCTACCCCTAACCCTTTCTCCCCCCCCTCCTACCCCTAACCCTTTCTCCCCCCCCTCCTACCCCTTCCCCCCCCTCCTACCCCTAACCCTTTCTCCCCCCCCTTACCCCTAACCCTTCCCCCCCCCCCCTCCTAACCCTTAACCCTTTCTCCCCCCCCTCCTACCCCTAACCCTTCCCCCCCCCTCCTAACTCTTTCTCCCCCCCTCCTACCCCTAACCCTTTCTCTCCCCCCCCCCTCCTACCCCTAACCCTTCCCCCCCTCCTACCCCTAACCCTTTCCCCCCCCCTTCCTACCCCTAACCCTTTCTCCTCCCCCCCCCCCCCTATTCTCCCTAATTTCCCTGCACCCTTTCAAATCAATAACATAATCTGCTTTCACAATCTATAGGCCTGTCGGGTTCCTGAAGGCAAGATATAGATCTCTCCTTGTCTGTCAGATTAGTCATAAATGTTTATTAGTCATAAACATCAAAAACGGTTTTGATATCTGCCTAAGTTTTTTTTTTTTTTTTTTTTTTTTCTTAGAGCGTTAAGAAGTGAAAGGACGCGAGATCAAAAGGCTTAATCTTACTTTGGAAATGCTGTAGCGCTTAAAGGTGATGAGATGATATTTGCACTTCATGGTGACTACTCTGCGGGGGATATTTACGGCTTTTGCGGTTGTCGGCAGGTTGCACGCGCTTTTTTTTCTGTGTTTTATATGCGTAGGGATTGTGTGGTTGTGTGGATATATGTATATACATGCATAATATATGGATTCAGGTATACATACACGCACACATACATATACGTGTGTGTGTGTGTATATATATATATATATATATATATATATATATATATATATATATATATATACACACATATATATATATATATATATATATATATATATATATATATATATATATATATATATATATATATATATATATATACATATACATACATATACATATATATACATATATATATATATATATATATATATATATATATATATATATATATATATATATATACAGTATTCATGGTTATGCGCGGTACAAACACACACATACACACACACACACGCATATATATATATATATATATATACATATATATATATATATATATATATATATATATATATATATATATATATATATATATATATATATATATACATATGTAGCTCTGTGCCTGTGCCCCGAGCGCATGCCTCCACCTAACGAAATCGCAGCGTAGCTCCGCAGAGAACGAATGGTCCAGCGCCTCCAACAACACGAAGCTCCGTTAAACTCCCGGCGCAGCTTAGTCCTGCTCCCTCGTGCTAAGACTCCCTAGCAACCCCGACGAGGCATATTCTAATACCGCACTTAAGCAACAGGCTGAACATCCGACCAATACAAGAGCTCGTTTGCCGGGAATTTACGGCCGGACCAATAAGAGAGGCGCAGTCAGGGGGGCGGTGCTCGCCAGCATCAAGAGGCGATTAAGAATGAGTTGATTGAGATCATTAGGAGGCGGGTTACTTTAGGAATGAGGCTTCCGTCTTGGTTGGAGTTGCGGGGGTTCCGGAGGAGGGAGGGAGGGAGGGAGGAAGGGAGGGAGGAAGGGAGGGAGGGAGGGAGAGAGAGAGGGAAGGGGTTGAGGAAAAGAGGGGGGCGCCGCTCCAACTCCCTCTCTCTTTCTCTCTCTCTCTCTCTCTCTCTCTCTCTCTCTCTCTCTCTCTCTCTCTCTCTCTCTCTCTCTCTCTCTCTCTCTCTCTCTCTCTCTCTCTCTCTCGCCCGTGCGAAAGCAATCAAGGGATGAGGCCAGCGCTCCTCCTTTCGCCAACGCTAAGTCATTTTCCGTGGAGGATCCTTCTGTATTCTTGTCGCGGGAGTCCGTCTGCAATTGCACAGTCCCGTAGAGTGATACAGACTGTGGCAGTGCCACGATCTGGAAGAAAGTGTCACGAAAGATTCAGAATATGCCTAATAGAGTCGAAAGCAGATAAGTACGGTTTCAGTTTCCCAGGCGCCGCCTCCCTCTCGAAACAAAACACAGCCATCAGCACATTTCACAGCTGAACGAGATCAACTTCTCGGCTTCACTATGGCACTATCAAGTAGCGCCATAGAGTTGATGAGCGGTATGCGCATGCGCTGAGCCACAAGGTAGGTTGATCGATCCAGCCTGGCTCAGTGTGCG